CTCGTTTCAGCACTTAGTACTAAAACTTTACAGTATGTAAAACGTGCTTAGATAGTTGAACGTGACTTGTTTATTGGAGTTTTATCTTCAGTTTTGTGCTAAGCATTGTCAACACCGATTGATTTTTAGTTAGTCGGGCCGAAATGGGTCTGATCTATTCGACACTCCTCTCTTGCGTGGGTGTTTTGGAACTTGTAGCGTTTTATTTCCACCTACGTAGGCAACTCACGCCCGCCGACCGCGGCAACAACGAAGATTTGGACGGCATCACAGACAACTACAAGCAGCAACTAGCCAAAAAACACACGTTGACGTTACGATGCGAAGTTGATACTGAAAAAGACGATAATACACATTCTGGAGTAAAAAAAATTAGTATTGATAATGTTCAGCATGAAACTAAAGAGGAATCACACGATAAATCAATGGGGAGGATACAAGAATTTATTTTGGATATCGCGACAAATTTACCAACACAAAGAAACGAAGATAGAATTTCATCAAGTGTTGAAAGAGTTTATTTGGGGGAAGAAATTTCTGTTGATCCTGTTCATGGCCGAAGAGAAGCTTCTCCTTTTCCCACTTACGAACGATTAGCACCTAGAGGAAGTATTTGCGAACTCGCCGAAAATCCCAGTATAAACGTAACGGAAGTAGACGAAGAAGAAGTTGAAAAAGACCATAGCTCAACTACATTTTGGTCGAACTCTTTACCGATTAGATCCAGATCAAGCTCGAGATCACCCAGCAGAAGCAGATCGAGTTCCCCAAGAGCGAAACGTTCCGTTGAAGTCGATGATCACCGTTCAAAATTGTTCCATAAACACAACATAGATGTTTCAAAAAAGAAACAAAGATCCGTTTCGCCTGAACCAAGAAACGTTAAATTGAACACAAGAAGAAGATCAAAATCTTTCACCGATAGTAAGGAGGTGATGTTGAAATCAACGGAGAATTTTCAAATTGTTGATAGAGATTATTGGTCGAGATCGCCGTCTCCATTCAAAGAAATTTTAGATGGAGATGAAACAAAATTTAATTTAATTTTCGATGATAATTTTAAAAATTCACTTGACGGTGTTAAACAAAAAGAGGAGAAGAAAAAAGATTTTAGGCGAAGACGAGAAATGAAAAATAAAGAGGTTAATAAAGAAGTTAATATTGAAGTGAATAAAGAGGTGGTTTCGGAACCTGGTGGAAGTAAAGACACGAAAGAAGCTTTCTGGGTAAAGTGAAAAATGGATTTTTCCCCGTTTCAAATCATCCCTTTAATTTCTTTTGATGCTTTTTGTAGTTGTAGATGTAGAATTTAGAAATAAAGTAGTAGGATCTGTTAGTTAACAAGTGAATTCGGGATATTTTCGACATCGCCTTCGGATACCGTTCTTTTGCACCCGGCACCAAAGTGTATTATAAATTAAGCGAATTAATAAAATTTGAAGATTAAACATCGCATTGACCTTAATTTTAGGAGATAAGAAATGATTAATACCTTAAATTAAAGATAAAACATTCCTCTTCAAGATGATACATTATCATAAATATAATGCATAATAAAAATTTTGAGATTAAGCTTAAAAAGTGAATTTTCAACGTTTCCTTAGAATAATAGAAATTGATGATTTTCAAAATGTCGCTGTAACTTTATTTTTTGGAACTAGAAAATGATTTATGCCTTAAATTAAAGCTGGAAGTTTTCTCTTCAAGGTGATACATAATCATAAATATATTGCATAATAAAAATTTTGAGATTAAGCTTAAAAAGTGAATTTTAAACATATCTTTAGAATATTAGAAATTGATGATTTTCAATACGTCACCTTAACCTTATTTTTTGGAACTAAAAAACGAATTATGCCTTAAATGAAAGCTGGAAGTTTCCTTTTCAAGATGATACATAATTATAAATATATTGCATAATAAAAATTTTGGGATTAACCTTAAAAAGTGAATTTTAAACATATTCTTAGAATATTAGAAATTGATGATTTTCAAAACGTCGCCTTAACCTTATTTTTTGGAACTAGAAAACGATTTATGCCTTAAATTAAAGCTGGAAGTTTCCTCTTCATGATGATATATAATCATAAATATAGTGCATATTAAAAATTTTGAGATTAAGCTTAAAAAGTGAATTTTAAACATATCTTTAGAATATTAGAAATTGATGATTTTCAAAACGTCGCCATAATCTTATTTTTTGGAACTAGAAAATGATTTATGCCTTAAATTAAAGCTGGAAGTTTCCTCTTCAAGATGATGCATAATCATAAATATATTGCATAATAAAAATTTTGGGATTAATCTTAAAAAGTGAATTTTAAACATGTTAGAATAATAGAAATTGATGATTTTCAAATCGTCGCCTTAACGTTATTTTTTGGAACTAGAAAACGATTTATGCGTTAAATTAAAGCTGGAAGCTTCCTCTTCAAGATGATACATAATTATAAATATATTGCATAATAAAAATTTTGAGATTAAGCTTAAAAAGTGAATTTTAAACATATTAAAATAACAGAAATTGATGATTTTCAAAACGTCGCCTTAACCTTATTTTTTGGAACTAGAAAACGATTTATGCCTTAAATTAAAGTTGGAAGTTTCCTCTTCAAGATGATACATAATCATAAATATATTGCATAATAAAAATTTTGGGATTAACCTTAAAAAATGAATTTTAAACATATTCTTAGAATAATAGAAATTGATGATTTCCAAAACGTCGCCATAACCTTATTTTTTGGAACTAGAAAACGATTTATGCCTTAAATTAAAGCTGGAAGTTTTCTCTTCAAGATGATACATAATCATAAATATAGTGCATAATAAAAATTTTGAGATTAACCTTAAAAAGTGAATTTTAAACATATTCTTAGAATATTAGAAATTGATGATTTTCAAAACGTCGCCATAACCTTATTTTTTGGAACTAGAAAATGATTTATGCCTTAAATTAAAGCTGGAAGTTTTCTCTTCATGATGATATATAATCATAAATATAGTGCATAATAAAAATTTTGAGATTAAGCTTAAAAAGTGAATTTTAAACGTTTCCTTAGAATAATAGAAATTGATGATTTTCAAAATGTCGCTGTAACGTTATTTTTTGGAACTAGAAAACGATTTATGCCTTAAATTAAAGCTGGAAGCTTTCTCGTCAAGATGATACATAATCATAAATATATTGCATAATAAAAATTTTGAGATTAACCTTAAAAAGTGAATTTTAAACATATTCTTAGAATATTAGAAATTGATGATTTTCAAAACGTCGCCATAACCTTATTTTTTTTTAACTAGAAAATGATTTATGCCTTAAATTAAAGCTGGAAGTTTTCTCTTCATGATGATATATAATCATAAATATATTGCATAATAAAAATTTTGAGATAACAATAAAAAACCAAAGTCTCAATTTTCAACTTAACATAAAAAGTCTTGTCATAAAGAGTCATAATTAGTCTTGAATAAAGAAGACACGAAAAAAGCTTTCTGGTTAAAGTAAAGAATGGAAATTTAATTTCTTTTGATGGTTTTTATAGTTTTAGATATAGAATTTCGAAATAAAATAGTAAATCCCTTAGGATCAGTTACTTAACAAGTGAGGAGTTCGGGCAGGCGTCGGGATATTTTCGACATCTCCCCGTAACGCCTTCGGATACTGTTCTTCTGCACCCGGCACCAAAGTGTATCATGAATCCAAAAATACCAAAGCTACACTCTTCCAGAGCGTCGGGACGCGTTTAGAATCAGTCGGCGTCGCGACGCTTAGAAGCAGCGATCCTCGAGTTATATTGTGGTGCGCGATTTTCATTAGAATCCGTTAACGAAACGAGAATCAAAAATCATGGGTGACGTAGACATCCATTCGAATTTCACCATCACCGAAAAGAAAACGAAGAAGGTGAAGAAGACTACGACCACCAAGAGGAGGGACGACGACGGCACAGATGTTACCATCACCGAGATCGAGAGAACCAGCAATGGAAACCAGGGGTACGTGTTGGCCCTTCGGATCATAAATGGAACAACCCCAAAACCAAAAAAAAAAAATGATTCAGAAGAACTACGTTTTGGTCCAATGTTTTCTTTTCTTTTAGGATTGTGACGTCGTATTGTGCATAAAAGTTGTCTATCATTACTGATTGATGTGTTTGTTCCACCCTTCATTTTTGTAATGAATTATTCTCCACTCGTTAGTTTATTTTATTTTTTTTTTGTCGTTAAAATACAAAAATACACCAACTTTTATTCACAGTCAAAGTTTAATACGCCCCAAAAATTTAGGTAGCGCCAACACGTACCCCTATTTGACACAAAGGTACACGTTTTGTACTTCGCCGATAACAGATCTACTCTCCGAGCTAATATTTGCTGGCGTAACACGCAGCCCTGGTTTAAATTTAGGCTACTACCGTCTTAAATTTCCGATTTGGACGCGGCCCAATCATTTCGAATTTTGTTAAGGAGGCGCAAATATTGTCTCATTTACACCAAATTTTTACGATCTAAAATGACGAAAGAAAAATAAATCCTAAGATCAATGTAGGATTAATTTTTCTTTCGATTTTAAAAACTCAAAAAAAAAATAATAGACACTTTTTTAAAATGAATATATTAGTTTTTGTATTTTGAAGGTAACCCTCGTTTTTGTGTCGTCTACAAAATGATGATATCGCTTACTCACCAATCACTAATTTATACACCCTTTCCTGTTTTTTTGTCTTAATTGTAAAATTTCCGTATTAAAACATTAAGACCAATAAACTTAAAATATATACTTTGTAAATAAACAAACAAAAAAGCTTTCGCCCTTCTTAATTCTTTCTTTTAATACTTTTTCTCTTAATTCTCTCATTCTCTCTATTTGTGCAGCTTTTAAGAATGATTAATTTATATATCTTCATTATAATCAAAAATAAAATAATTAATCATTCTTAAACCTGCGATTATTAAAATAAATATTAATTAAAATCAATTTTCTTTTCATTTTGTAGCTTATTTTCAGTGGAGAGTACACGAAGGCCATGAATAAAGATTGGCATGGACAGCATTTTTGTTGTTGGCAATGCGACGAAAGTCTTACTGGCCAAAGGTACGTCTTGAGGGATGATCATCCGTATTGCGTTGCATGTTACGAATCGGTTTTCGCAAATGGTTGCGAAAAGTGTAATAAAATCATTGGAATTGACTCCAAGGTAAATAACATTTTTTGATTTTTTTTAGCGAAATAAACATCTTTTTTGGTTGTTGTTACAGGATTTGTCATACAAAGATAAACATTGGCACGAAGCTTGCTTCCTTTGTACCATTTGCGGCGAATCTCTCGTGGACAAACAATTTGGTTCGAAAGCCGATCGTATTTATTGCGGACGTTGTTACGATGAGAAATTCGCGTCGAGATGCGATGGTTGTGGAGAAATCTTCCGTGCTGGTATGTATACTTATTTATCTATTCAACTTAATTGAAAATTAAAAAGCTTGAAGATATTATTCTAAGCGTCGTCCTAACCTTATTTTTAGAAGATAAGAAATGATTTATGTCTCAAATTACAGTTTAAATATTCCCCTTTAAGGCAATATATAACCTTGAAGTTATTGCATTATAAAAATTTTGAGATAAAGGTTAAAAACTAAAATATCAATTTTTTAACTCAATCTGAAATCAATAAAAATCGAAGATTTTCAAATCATCGTCCTGGCCTTATTTTTAAGAGATAAGAAATGATTTATGTTTTAAATTAAAGCTTAAGCATTCATGTTTAAGGTGGTATATAACCTTAAATATATTGCATTATAAAAATTTTGAGATAAAGGTTAAAAACTAAAATATCAATTTTTAACTTAACCTGAAATCAATAAAAATCGAAGATTTTCAAATCGTCGTCCTGACCTTATTTTTAGGAGATATAAAATGATTTATGTCTTAAATTAAAGCTTAAACATTCCTCTTTAAGGCAGTATATAACTTTAAATACATTGGATTAGAAAAATTTTGTGATAAAACTTACAGAATCAATTTTAAAGTTAACCTAAAATTGGTAAAATTTGAATCTTTTCAAAACACCGTCCTAACCTTATTTTTAGGAGATAAGAAATGTTTTATACCTTAAATTAAAGCTGAAACTTTCCTCTTTAAGGTAGTATATAATCTTAAATACATTGCATTATAAAAATGTTGAGATAAAACTTAAAAAATGAATTATTAGGTTGTAATAATATTATTAAAATCGGAGATTTTCAAATCGTCGTCTTGACCTTATTTTTAGGAGATAAGAAATTATTTATGTCTTAAATTAAAGCTTAAACATTCCTCTTTAAGGCAGTATATAACTTTAAATATATTGGATTAGAAAAATTTTGTGATAAAACTTACACAATCAATGTTAAACTTAACCGAAAATTGGAGGAATTTGTAGCTTTTCAAAACATCGTTATAACTTTATTGTTAGGAGATAAGAACTGTTTTATACCTTAAATTAAAGCTGAAACTTTCCTCTTCAAGCTGGTATATAATCTTAAATACATTGACATTATAAAAATTTTGAGATAAAACTTAAAAAATGAATTATTAGGTTATAATAATATTATTAGAAATCGGAGATTTTCAAATCGTCGTCTTGACCTTATTTTTAGGAGATAAGAAATGATTTATGTCTTAAATTAAAGCTTAAACATTCCTCTTTAAGGCAGTATATAACTTTAAATACATTGGATTAGAAAAATTTTGTGATAAAACTTACAGAATCAATTTTAAAGTTAACCTAAAATTGGTAAAATTTGAATCTTTTCAAAACACCGTCCTAACCTTATTTTTAGGAGATAAGAAATGGTTTATACTTTAAATTAAAGCTGAAACTTTCCTCTTCAAGCTGGTATATAATCTTAAATACATGACATTATAAAAATTTTGAGATAAAACTTAAAAAATCAATTATTAGGTTATAATAATATCATTAGAAATCGGAGATTTTCAAATCGTCGTCTTGACCTTATTTTTAGGAGATAAGAAATGATTTATGTCTTAAATTAAAGCTTGAACATTCCTCTTTAAAGCAGTATATAACTTTAAATACATTGGATTAGAAAAATTTTGTGATAAAACTTACAGAATCAATTTTAAAGTTAACCTAAAATTGGTAAAATTTGAATCTTTTCAAAACACCGTCCTAACCTTATTTTTAGGAGATAAGAAATGTTTTATACCTTAAATTAAAGCTGAAACTTTCCTCTTTAAGGTAGTATATAATCTTAAATACATTGCATTATAAAAATGTTGAGATAAAACTTAAAAAATGAATTATTAGGTTGTAATAATATTATTAAAATCGGAGATTTTGAAATCGTCGTCTTGACCTTATTTTTAGGAGATAAGAAATTATTTATGTCTTAAATTAAAGCTTAAACATTCCTCTTTAAGGCAGTATATAACTTTAAATACATTGGATTAGAAAAATTTTGTGATAAAACTTACAGAATCAATTTTAAAGTTAACCTAAAATTGGTAAAATTTGAATCTTTTCAAAACACCGTCCTAACCTTATTTTTAGGAGATAAGAACTGTTTTATACCTTAAATTAAAGGTGAAACTTTCCTCTTCAACCTGGTATATAATCTTAAATACATTGCATTATAAAAATTTTGAGATAAAACTTAAAAAATGAATTATTAGGATGTAATAATATTATTAGAAATCGGAGATTTTCAAATCGTCGTCTTGACCTTATTTTTAGAAGATAAGAAATGATTTATGTCTTAAATTAAAGCTTGAACATTCCTCTTTAAGGCAGTATATAACTTTAAATACATTGGATTAGAAAAATTTTGTGATAAAACTTACAGAATCAATTTTAAAGTTAACCTAAAATTGGTAAAATTTAAATCGTCGTCTTGACCTTATTTTTAGGAGATAAGAAATTATTTATGTCTTAAATCAAAGCTTAAACATTCCTCTTTAACGCAGTATATAACCTTGAATATATTGCATTATAAAAATTTTGAGATAAAAGTTAAAAACAAAAATATCAATTTTTAACTTAACCTCAAATCAATAAAAATCGAAGATTTTCAAATCGTCGTCCTGACCTTATTTTTAGGAGATATAAAATGATTTATGTCTTAAATTAAAGCTTAAACATTCCTCTTTAAGGCAGTATATAACTTTAAATATATTGGATTAGAAAAATTTTGTGATAAAACTTACACAATCAATGTTAAACTTAACCGAAAATTGGAGGAATTTGTAGCTTTTCAAAACATCGTTATAACTTTATTTTTAGGAGATAAGAACTGTTTTATACCTTAAATTAAAGCTGAAACTTTCCTCTTCAAGCTGGTATATAATCTTAAATACATTACATTATAAAAATTTTGAGATAAAACTTAAAAAATGAATTATTAGGTTATAATAATATTATTAGAAATCGGAGATTTTCAAATCGTCGTCCTGGCCTTATTTTTAATATCTTATGTTAAAAAAATAAGGGCAAGACGACGTTTTGATAAAAATTAAAGGCTAAGATATCAATTTTTAACCTAACCTGAAATATATAAAAATCGAAGATTTTCAAAATACCGCCTTGATCTTATTTTTAGGAGATAAGAAATGATTTATGTCTTAAATTAAAGCTTAAACATTCCTCTTTAAGGCAGTATATAACTTTAAATACATTGGATTAGAAAAATTTTGTGATAAAACTTACAGAATCAATTTTAAACTTAACCTAAAATTGGCAAAATTTGAATCTTTTCAAAACACCGTCCTAACCTTATTTTTAGGAGATAAGAAATGTTTTATACTTTAAATTAAAGCTGAAACTTTCCTCTTCAAGCTGGTATATAATCTTAAATACATTACATTATAAAAATGTTGAGATAAAACTTAAAAAATGAATTATTAGGTTGTAATAATATTATTAAAATCGGAGATTTTCAAATCGTCGTCTTGACCTTATTTTTAGGAGATAAGAAATTATTTATGTCTTAAATTAAAGCTTAAACATTCCTCTTTAAGGCAGTATATAACTTTAAATACATTGGATTAGAAAAATTTTGTGATAAAACTTACAGAATCAATTTTAAAGTTAACCTGAAATTGGTAAAATTTGAATCTTTTCAAAACACCGTCCTAACCTTATTTTTAGGAGATAAGAAATGTTTTATACCTTAAATTAAAGCTGAAACTTTCCTCTTTAAGGTAGTATATAATCTTAAATACATTGCATTATAAAAATGTTGAGATAAAACTTAAAAAAAAATTAGTTTATAATAATATTATTAAAATCGGAGATTTTCAAATCGTCGTCTTGACCTTATTTTTAAGAGATAAGAAATGTATTATGTCTTAAATTAAAGCTTAAACATTCGTCTTTAAGCCAGTATATAACTTTAAATATATTGCATTATAAAAATTTTGAAATAAAACTAAAATATCATTTTTAACTTAATTTGAAATTGATAAAAATCTAAATTTTTCAAAACATCGCCGAGATAGAAGATAAGGAATAATTTATGTTTTAAATAAAAGCTTAAGAGAAATGTTTCAGCTTTAATTTAAGACATAAATTATTTCTTAAAATAAGGACAAGACGATATTTTAAAAAACTTCAATTTCTATTAATTTTATGATAAGCTAAAAATTGATTTCTTAAGTTTTATCTCAAAATTTTTATAACATATTGAAAATTATACAGCATCCCGAAAAGGAAGGTTTCAGCTGTAATTTAAAGTATAGATCATTCCTTATCTCCTAAAAATAAGGTCAATATCTTCAAGTCAATAGTTTCAAACAGACCCATCTATTAAATTCTAAAAATCAAAAAAATAATACTTTTAAGTGATCATAAACCGATTTTATCATCTTGTTTAAAGCGTTTAACATCAATAACAATTTTTTTCTTGCATTTGAATAATGGAAATTCTTGTTTTCGGTGTCGCAACAGTGATAATTACTTCGGTAATCAAACAACTTTACGATCTCACAAACACAAAGAGAGCAAACAAATTCAAATTAATTTAATTATCATCAACACAAACAATCCTCTTTTATTTTTCAACAAAAGAAAGAACGTCTGTTTACTTTGATACTATTGTCAGCTATTAAATTTCGATTGTAAAATCTTTATAATCCAAAACTTGGTTATAAAAAAATTTACGACACGTCATAATACGATCAATGACATAATTGTTCGTTTTTTAAATTGAAACAAATTTAGAAAGATAAAATAAAATCGCGTCAAGTCGTTCTTCGTTCGTCGACGACCTTAAAATTCTTAATGCGAAATTCCAGCCTTTATATGGCTCGATGGTGAAAACATGTCGTCGTCAGCTCGGTTCGTTTCCATCAGAGGAAACGAAATGTCAATTTTGTAGATATCGAAAGTTTTGCACGGTACCCTTTTTTTTAAACGAACGACACTGCAAACGTTTTAGCATAGTCTCCATATTTGGGCGAAACGGGGCCCCCTCGTTAATATAAAAATGTTTATTAGGTAGGTCACGATGAATCATACCAAGACTTTTTTAAAGATTTAACCAGATCAAGTTGAACACTTTATAATAACGCACAGTAAATAATTTTAATAACTTTTCTTCGTGTTGTACTTGAAAATATAAAAGGAGATTTCTTTTTAAATCTCTTACGTAATCCAATCCTTTTATTTTAAAATGTTTGAATAAACATTAAGGGGAAATTGAAGAGTTGACGGTCTAACGTTTCGTGCAAACTTTGTTTTGAAATAAGTAATTTTTTGAATAAATTGAAGAAAATCTTTTAAATAAGTGTTGGTAATAATTCTTAACGTTTCGATTTAACATTGAAAGGTGTTCGTAATTCATTTACGAGACGTGCCACAAACAAATGGTTATTTGTAATCTTAATAGATTAATAGGAAGTTGTGGCAAACGAGTTGGGCTTAAGGTGTTACATTACATCATGTCTATTTTAACGGATGCGGTCATTTTTGTTCACGTTCGCTTAGTTTGTTTAAGTTGATTGTAGGTGTGCACCTGCCAATTTTCTCTTAAATCATCACTTATAATTTTTACGATCATAAAAAAAATGTAACTTTTTTAATGATGATTGATTAATTACTAGTTATTTTTATGTATATTAAGATTAATTCAAAAATCTTCCGTGATTTTTATGTGTGATTTAGAAGTTATAAGCTTTTATTGGTTGCTTTTCTTACTGTACTGTTCAGTGGGAAATAAAAATTAAAAATTTTTATTTAATTTAAGACATAAATCATATCTTATGTTAAAAAAATAAGGGCAAGACGACGTTTTGATAAAAATTAAAAGCTAAGATATCAATTTTTAACCCAACCTGAAATATATAAAAATCGAAGATTTTCAAAATACCGCCTTGACCTTATTTTTAGGAGATAAGAAATGATTTATGTCTTAAATTAAAGCTTAAACATTCCTCTTTAAGGTAGTATATAATTTTAAATATGTTGGATTAGAAAAATTTTGTGATACAACTCACAGAATCAATTTTAAACTTAATCTAAAATAGGTAAAATTTGAAGCTTTTCAAAACATCGTCCTAACTTTATTTTTAGGAGATAAGAAATGTTTTATACCTTAAATTAAAGCTGAAACTTTCCTCTTCAAGCTGGTATATAACCTCAAATACATTGCATTATAAAAATTTTGAGATAAAACTTAAGAAATCAATTATTACGTTGTCATGATATTATTAGAAATCGAAGGTTTTCAAATCGTCGTCCTGACCTTATTTTTAGGAGATAAGAAATGATTTATGTCTTAAATTAAAGCTTAAACATTCCTCTTTAAGGCAGTATATAACTTTAAATATATTGGATTAGAAACATTTTGTGATAAAACTTACAGAATCAATATTAAACTTAACCTAAAATTGGAGGAATTTGTAGCTTTTCAAAACATCGTCCTAACTTTATTTTTAGGAGATAAGAAATGTTTTATACCTTAAATTAAAGCTGAAACTTTCCTTTTCAAGCTGGTATATAATCTTAAGTACATTGCATTATAAAAATTTTGAGATAAAACTTAAGAAATCAATTATTAGGTTGTCATAATATTATTAGAAATCGAAGATTTTCAAATCGTCGTCCTGACCTTATTTTTAGGAGATAAGAAATGATTTATGTCTTAAATTAAAGCTTAAACATTCCTCTTTAAGGCAGTATATAACTTTAAATACATTAGATTAGAAAAATTTTGTGATAAAACTTACAGAATCAATGTTAAACTTAACCTAAAATTGGAGGAATTTGTAGCTTTTCAAAACATCGCCTTAATCTTATTTTTAAGAGATAAGAAATATTTTATACCTTAAATTAAAGCTGAAACTTTCCTCTTCAAGCTGGTATATAACCTCAAATACATTGCATTATAAAAATTTTGAGATAAAACTTAATAAATCAATTATTAGGTTGTCATAATATTATTAGAAATCGAACATTTTCAAATCGTCGTCCTAATTTTACTTTTAAGAGATAAGAAATGATTTATGTCATAAATTAAAGCTTAAACATTCCTCTTTAAGGCAGTACATAACTTTAAATATATTGGATTAGAAAAATTTTGAGACAAAATTTAAAAACTAAAATATCAATTCGTTGAGTAACAAAATTTATTACTTTAATCATAACTACGATGATAAAGCATAAAAATTCCAACCAGAATCTCAAAAATACACCAACAATGATTAAAACCACATTACAGATAAAGCCCAAAAAATTTTAATTGCATTACTAGGAATTTCTCTTTAGAAAAAAACACTCCATGTTATTAGTCAGAGTTAGAAAAGAAAGATTATCGCCGCCACAAAGTCTGCGTAGGCTCACTTACCTTCAACGTGAAGATTATTTGAACTAACGAGCTTTAGATTCAATTAACGCGTAGGTTTCATTCTTTTCTTGTGAGGACCAATTTTGGTTTCTACCATATCCGACGAAAAGGTGGAACAAACACACCGGCCGTCGTCAGTCAATTGAAAATCCTCAGTCATATGAGACGGCCTGACACGATCGGTTTAACAACAGTCCTTTAAAAGACTTGCTCGCGATGACACAAACAGAAAGTGTTACAAGTTAAAGTTTATATATATTTTTTTTAATTTTAAATTAAAAGTTTTTTTCGAATAATTAAAATGGCTACTATATTGAGTGATCAAATGAGTGGGTTAAAACTTCAAACTAAAACTGTTGGTGAAGATAGAATTAAAAAGGCGAAGGAACGAAATGAAGATGTTGCTATTCTTTCAATGGAATTACCTGGACAAAATAAAAGTTTTAAGTGTTCTGCGGGTTCTGAGTGTTTAATGGGAGATCCTACAAAGTTACCTTTAGGTTCGATACTTTTAAAATTAAAAATCAATTTATAAGAAATAATTAATTTGTTCTAAAGACATTTAGGATTTATGAAAGCGAAATTTAATGGTACCTAGGTAATTGTTTAGGAACTATTCCAAGTCTAGGGCAACAAATAAATAAAATAGAGTCAATATCGTGACTGCGTTAGAAAACCTTGGTGTCAACCGGTTCCTAGTATATTATTTAAAATTGGGTCTGAAAATCCCATGCCCCTAAGGGATGCACGATATTCGATACGTTTTTTGCGGTCACGAAACCATAAAAAAACTTACACATTTTAATTTTACTTAATATTATTATTATTTAATTCAACGCAGGTAATAAAAATTGAAAGTGAAATTGTTATCCTTGTTAAATTCTACATTCATACTTAATTATAGTGGTGAGTAATTTTTGGTCAATCTTAAAAAGTTCAAAGTTGAAGATCGAATTACCTCATTAAGATTAATATTTATCTTAAAGACAACAACAAAGAATTTTTTTCACACCACGTCTTTATAATTACTTTACTTCGATTTTTTTACTTTTTCTTTAATGGCATTGGCACCAACTTTGTTTCTTTTCTAAACCGTACGTTATCCCTGTATATGGAAGAGACGAGTGTGGGTTATATGGGTCAATGTTAAAAACTTGAAGCTGAGACATTGAAATCGAATCATGACTTTAAAAAAATTCGATATCGCGTTCTTGGTTAAAGAGAATTCTTTTTTTGTGTTGCAGGAACGAAGAAAATGGAATACAAGACGAGGCAGTGGCACGAAAAATGTTTCTGTTGCGTTGTTTGTAAGACACCGATTGGAACTCAAAGTTTCATCCCGAGGGAACAAGAAATTTATTGCGCCAAGTGTTACGAAGAGAAATATGCTACTCGTTGCATTAAATGCGACAAGGTAAGAAAACAAAAATAAATTACAAAAGATATGAAACCCATTATCAGCTCAAAATGTAAATATTAATCATTATTTGTGTGGATGACTCTTATTCCTTGGTTTTGATGTATTATATTTATGACACATGTCAAAACGTTAAAGTGTCGGTAACCTAAGCTACAAAAATAAAAAAAATCCCTGAAAAACTACCACATTCTGCCGAATATTGCCAAGAAGTCAATTAAAAACCAGTTTTAGACTCGTATTTCTTACAGAGGTTATGTTCAGACCATTACATGTCATAATAATGAATCAGCCAAATAAAATCGCTCTTTTCTATGAATTGCAACCCATAAATGTTATAATCAAGACTCATCATCAAAAAAAAATCGCCAAGAACTCAACTAGAAACCAATTTTGCACTCATTGTCTTTCTTACAACCAAATTTTATTGACTTCGAGGTTAGGTTCAAATCATTACATGCCATAATATTGAATCAATCAAATAAAATCGCTTTTTTCTATGAATCTCAACCCATAAATGTCATAATCGAGACTCATCATCAAAGAAAATCGTCAAGAACTCAACTAGAAACCAGTTTTAGACTCGTTGTCTTTCTTACAACCTAATTTCATTGATTTTGAGGTTAGTTTCAGCCCATTACTTGTCATAATAAGGGATCAACCAAATAAAATCGCTTTTTTCTATAAATCTCAATCCATTAATGTCATAATGGAGACTCATCATCAAAGAAAATCGTCAAGAACTCAACTAGAAACCAGTTTAAAGACTCGTTTTGTTTCTTAACACTTCATTTCATTGATTTTGAGGTTAGGTTCAGACCATTACATGTCATAATAGTGAGTGAACCAAACAAAATCGCTCTTTTATATGAATTTCAACCTATAAATGTCTTAATCAAGACTCATCAGCAAAGAATATTGTCAAAAACTTAATTAGAA